CACACACACACACACACTCTCACACACACACACTCTCTCACACACACACACACACACACACTCTCACACACATCAGAGATCGACTCCCTCAGCAGAACATCACACAGACATGGCATGAAGAGTAACACCACTAATCTATCAATCTATTAATTTGACAAAGATTTCGGTCTTGTTTACCAGTATCTAAACATTCTTAAATCAAAAGACATTGAAGATCTGATCTGAGTTTATGCTTAAAAAAACCAACAAAAAATATCAAGAAACTTAATTCAAAGGGAAATAGTTCTTCTGTTAATCATAAACTCACTTCATTTTCATACATTTTTCAGAAAACAAGTCTTAATATCTTCTGCCATTCTGCTTCGCCAGTAAATGTCTCCTGATTTAAGGATGTTTAGACATTTGTACTGGAAAACAAGACTTTTTTGAGTTGTACTTTTGGCAATAAGCACATGATGATATTTATTACAAACACACAACAGAAGCAGAAGTGATGCTTACGGAGCCACGAGAGAGCAGTGTTTCCACTGAGGCCTTTGTGTTGAAACGGCTCATTAATCAGAGTTTGTTGTGTAATGACGTGTGTTGTGTTCAGAGGCTTTAATGTACAATCTCAGCTATAAGAAGATTCATGTCCGACTCTTATTTGCTGTAATAAATGAGCCAGTGATGCTTTCAAGGTGTTTATCTTACAATCAACGCTCAGTGCAAACGTCCTTCAGATGAACCTCACATTCACAGCCGCAATAAGTGATGGACGTTCATCTGAACCAGGCAGGACTACAGCACTTTCTCCAATCTAACAGACTCCTATCAGAACCTAAAGTTTTATTCATTAGATCTAAAATAAATTACAATTTTATGTTGGTTCAGCTCAACGATCTATTTTAATGCACAACTTGCCTATTGGTGTTAGATAGGCCTACTTTTAAGTAAAGAATGCTGAGTGAACTTCAAGCCGGATTTACTTAAAAAGTGTGACGCCAAAACGGTGCATGTATATTTTAAGTAAATCCAACACGTTGTCTGAAGAACTCTGATTCTAATGCATAATTAATGAGAAGCAGCACTGATGTCATCCGCACAATAAACACTCGAGATCAGGCTGAGACGATGAATCTCTCACGACTCACTAAACAATCAGCTCAAATAAACTCAACAGAGAGTCGAGGGACTGCGCTGCCGCCTACACGCCGCACTCTGTGTCTTCCCAATCACTGATCGCGTGTGCAATACTCCATAAACGGCCCGAAATAAACCCCACACCACCAGGAGCCGCCGTCTATTCTGGTGCCGTGACGGAACGAGCCGTTAATAGCACGCTGCTGCATCCAGGGGCGGCTAATTACAGCCAAACTCTCGCTGCAGAGGCTCATTCTGTGGCTGTGGAATAACTGCAAGCCCTTCACTGCATGTGAGAGCAACAATCAACGGCATGCAGATGAGACTGATCTCGGAGAAGCACGCGCACATCCTTCAGATCAGCTCAGCTGTCAATCACTCATGACATTCTCAGACACTTTCCCTCTTCATTCTTTTAATCTATGGAAATAAATATACTGTACGGGCATTTAGTGGGGTTGGTGTTGTTGTTTTTACACAAAGGACCGAATAGAATCGATTAGAATTGTGACTCGGTCACATGACCTGCTGTGTCGAAAAATAAAATGCTTACTAAAAGCAATTCATAATAATAATAACAAACTTACTCACTGTACCAGTGTTATTTTAGTATTATTGAGATACTATTATATTTTTTATTAATATTTGGAATATTTTAAGTCACCTTGGAAACTAACTGAAATAAAAAGTTTTTATTTATTTCAGTTCACGTTTATCTTATTTTAAGTAACGGTTTTAAGTTTAGTTTCAGTTTTAGTTAGCCATAATAACCCTGGACTGTACCGTTAATAATGATAATAACATCAAATAGCTCGTGTTAAGTCATAATTCATATCATCATAATGATTTAAACAAGCTGAAAGCACAAAAACACCTAACAAATGAATTAAAGCATGCTGGAAACCACCTACAACCAGACTTAATTTTTATTATTAAATCATTTTCATTTATTTCTTTAAATAAAATAAACGTTAACTGAAATCAAATTAAATATATAAAACAAAAATGTATTTGAATTTTATATAGAATTAGCCTGTATCAAAATAAAAACTAATTCAAAAATATGAATAAAAACGATAAGAGTGTCTGAATCAAACGCACATCACGCAGTGTTTCACAGTTGCTTCAGAACACAGACTGCAGACGTGCTGACATTATAATGTGTTCAGAGCTGAAAACAGCTGCAGGATCAACTGCTCGAGCAAACAGAAGAACAGCCTTCTGCCTCAATAACACTCCCACATTAAATCAGCTCCAGTCTGGGTCATGAAACTGTAGCAGGGAGTCTGGATTTATTCGCTAAGCCTGTGAAATACGGTTGCTTTAATTAAAACTCCCCGACGGAGAAAAGAGAAGGCGAGATTAAGACGAGAGAAACGCAGAAATCAAGGAGGAAAGAATCCAGGTGAAGAAAAGAGAATAACAATGAGCGGCAGACTCAAACCCTCACCCGACACAACCTCCAGAATCCAGAGCCAGTTCAGGATGAAAAGCAGCACGAAGAAAGAGATCAACGATGCTGAACTGCAGTAGACAGAATTCAAATCAAATGAAATGCACATGCTACTGTAGTACTTCAGATTTTGTCTAAACAATCTATGAATGTTGAAAACAGATTCTGGATCCAATCAAGCGCTTCATTTCCCAGAATGCATCACCTGTGTCCGGTTCCTCTTCCATTCAGTCTGAACTCTCACTGATGATTCTCAGTCGCGGCACACAAATGCGTCTCTGCTCTGTTGGGAAAACAAAAGCTGAATGCGAATAATCTAATAATGAGAGTAATTATAGAACTGTGTGCGGCGAGGAGAGCCAAATAAACAGACGAATCAAGTTTTCAAAAGCAGGATGAAAGACTTCCAAATAAACTCTGATTCTTCTGTGGCTGGATGAAGCTCGTCATATTAGATCCTGCTCCTCAAAAACCACACAAGACCACATTAAACAGCGGAAACCCC